CGAAGAAGTTGGTTCGTTCTGCATTAATTTCAAAGATGATCTAGTCTGTGTGGATTAACAAAGAAGTTGGTTCATTCTGCATTAATTTCATTATTATCTGGTTTAAATTTCATGGGCAGGTGATCCACTTGTACTTGGACGTGTGCGCTTTTGTAGTTTTCCCACTGGGAGCGGGGTGCAAATACTAGTCATTTCTGCAGCTTGTGCAAACGTTTACCACCCAAAAGATGGCTATTGCTCCAAGTCTCAAGTTTTGTGTTCATAATGTCATTTCTGCGACTGGAGTTCGAAAATGATAACAGAGTTTGTTTGAAAATGATAATGGAGTTTAGTGTGTATGTAATTCAATTTTTGTATACCTCAGAACTCAGAAGTGCGCTGTAATACTAAATCATATACTTGGTATTTATAAATATAGAAGTCATCATTAAAAACCTTCCTAAAAACTATACCCTGAAGCATGAATGTCAACATTTTTTAAAATTACTGCGTATGTTGTAGGAAAAAGTGAGCGTTTTTGTTTAGCTTATTTGTGTGCCAAGTTACGAATTATGATTCCTTTTTTCTTTGAAGGGAAGAAACAACTTCTAGTAGATACTGCAAAAATAACTAAACGTCTTCCTTTAACCATATATAAACAGTAAACTGTTTGCTCCACCAAGAAATACGAATCACATACTATTTCATGGGAGCATGGAACTCAAGTTATCACTGCCAGATTCACAAACATACTTTTAAGTTTTAATTGCCTAAAACTCAAACACAATATATAGTCTAGGGGTGGACTCGTTTCTGGTTCGGGTCCTGGTCAATGTTTAGAGGAGCCCAGGTCTGACATTGTAATATACGGTTCTGGGGCAGTTTTGGGTATACGGGTGGTCCGGTACCGGGTCAAACATGGTCCCGTTCTTTTTTATTAACTTCTGCCCGTTTGAAGGCTAAAAAATGATTGATCGGGATTGAAATTGGGACTGGAACTGCCCGGTTCGGTCCCCAATTATGTGAGCCTGTACCGGGTGGCCTGCCTGGGCGGACAGGGCTTTTCCCAGGTCTGGAACCACAAAAACTGGATCCGGGCCAGTCCCAAACAGTGTTAGACCCGGTTTTAGACCGGGTCCACCTCTAATTTAGGCTGTGCTTCTCATGTAGACTTCTCAAATTCCTGCATCATAGTATCAGTGTAGCACAGACATGACTACGGAGTATTACTCAATGCAGATGCGTAGAATGGCAGTGGTTGGGACTTGGGAGGAGCCGTGAGTGTCTAGATACTAGAAACTTGAAGCAATGTCAACTATATAGAGCAGTAAATCCACGGTTGAAGACTTGAGAAGAACAACTTGGTCAAAAATGGTGAAAAGGCTATAAAGATAGCCCGATTCGAAAATTACAAAGAAAGAACTGCAAGATTTGTATAGAACCAAGCCCAAGATAAAACTAGGAAGAATAAAGAACCTAATACTACTTGTTTAGAAACAATGACGTATCTGCCAACATTAGTAGCTCAGATGGTGTTGGAGGTTAAAATCTAGTATCATGCCCCAAATCTTTTCACTGTGGGAGTTCAGTTTCTCTTCATTTGTTTTTACGTATAGGCTATAGTCGTGATATTCTCCTTGAGTCCGTATACCGTGGTACCGGCGCACAATGAGCATCATGCTCCCAGGGGTAAAACAGGGATGAACAGTACCCGCGGATGAACATTAACTTTTTTTTTATTTCAATAGCAGGGTGATGTAACTCTCGTTTAGAAAAATGTAACTCACATTGATTGGAAATGTAACTTGAGTCAAGTTGATATGTAAGTTGTCTAAAACGGAATGTATGGGGAAAACATTGATTTGAATGTAAACAATAAAAAATTGATCATAATTGCCCAATTACGTTTTATAAATAGTGAATATGTTTTGAATTTTTAATATTAGGGCTATAAAAATGGATTTAGTTAAAAAAAATTGGTCATTAGCTTGATTTTTTAGTGGTGTAACTCGCGTACATTAAGATGTAATTCGCGTACATTAAAATGTAATTCTAGAAAAGTTGAAATGTAAACTATCTTTTATATATGTGTGTGTGTTATAAACATTGATTTCAATGTAAACAATGAAAAATTGGTCTTAATTGCCTAATTTGCAATAGTGAATAAGTTTTTTAATAATAGGACTATACAAAATGATGTAGTTAAAAAAATCATTTTTTATTGATTAGCACATGTTTATTTCGTGTTGTAACTCGTGTACATTGAGATGTAACTCATGTATAAACAGATGTAACTCGCGAATAAGATGATGTAACTTCATATAATATCAAATGTAAACAATGAAAATAAAGAGTTTAATTTTCAACTAATCTACTGTAAATAGTAAATATGTTTTGAATTTAATACTAAGGTCATAAATATGTTTTAAAGAAAGATCATTTTTCTATATGGGTAAGTTTATATTATTTGATCAATAAATGTATTTATGTTATTTTTTATGGATAATAGTTTTTTCCAAATGCAAAGACAAATTCTGATTGTGGACATTTATCATAATGTGGAAAAATCTGGTTGTGGATCATGTTGTCGCAAATGGAAAGACAATTGGGGAGGACGCATGCAGTGTTTGTGAGAAAGAAAAAGAAAACAACGAACAAGTAGCAGTGACGGAGAAGAGTAGTTGCTGGCCAAATGAGAGGACGATTATGGATTTTTTGTAATAAGAAAAAACGATGCCGTATTGGCACCGGTATACCATGTGCATGGTATACCGTTGCAAGGTATAATTTGCCTTCTCCTTTTACCTTTTTGGATGATTGAATTCCATACCATCTTCAGAATAACAAATGGACATTTAATTTTGATATTGAGGGGAGCTACTTTTGTTTTTAAGAAAGCCGGAATGCATAACTAGCTAACCACAGTTCCAAGTCCACATTTAGGGCATGAGAAGCACGCTTAATGGGAAGGTTCAGGATGACAATATTTTCCCAATTGCTTTAGACTCTACTGTCCACTAGCCAGCTCGTAACTAAGAGTTTCTCCATATCTCCATTCATTTGAAAAGCTCATGAGCTCTTCACACTGACAACTCATAGACATTGGCTTGCGTACTCGAATGTATACTTTGCACACATACGTATATTTGTTTGTTGAGTGCCTACCATAGACATTTTTGCATATTCAATTCTTAAGAGCTAACCTAAGAGACAACCACATTTAACCCAAGTGCACATATAGACCTCACAATCTGTCTACGATTTAGCCGATTGATCATAATCTGATCTAACCCCTCCAATTAATTCATAAGTTTGGAGTTAGGCTCAAGGTTCAAAATTATGTATGGCGTGGTTATGATTTTTTGAAATTACATATTGTGTAAGCCTCATTACACAATGAGACACAAATATATATGTGCACGTATATAAATATTGTGTATGCCTCCCAAAATATATTTTTGCACGCAGATTTCATGCACTGGCCACTTATAGCGTATGCCTCCCAACACCTTAATGTGTATGCAATATTGTGCATTTGTGCACGCCTCACTCTACATATTGTGTACGCCACACTCCCAAGTCCCAACGCCATAATTAGGAATTACCTAAGGCGCACTAAAGACATAGACCCAGTCCAAAACTGGGTCATGTAATGTGCATGACCAAACCGAGTTCGTTTTTCCAACTTCGGAAGAAGAACGGGTACCAGATCCCGAATTCTATTTTTTGGCACCGAATCGGGCGATTCCGGTCCCGATGAGTCATTTTTTATTTCAGCCTTGGAATGGTTGGAACTGGACCCGTCCTTTTCCGTATTTCGAACAGGTCTAAACCCTAAACCCTTGGAACCAGACAAAAAAAAAGACCCGAGTCCAAAAACAGACAGACCCAGTACTCGGAACCGGGACCGGACCAACCCAAGTCCATGCCTAGTGCAATATGAGGCACAATTGCATCCCACAATTACAAACAACGGATTCATCCTTTTTTATTTATTTATTTATTTTCATTTGTTCATTTACTACCATCATTGCGGTGTGCATACAACTATGGTTTACACCCAGCACCCCACATTCAGACCTTTTTACGATTCTCAATGGTTAACCATAATAACTGCAACCTTCAATGCTTTGGGACTCCCAAGCTTCTTTAACCACACATGCCAGTCAAGAATCTGAAAACCCTTACGTTTATCACTACACCCGAGTTGTCATGCACCGTGCACATTGTAGCATTGAAGATGCTCTTATGCTCACCATCTAACACTGTACTTCAGAGAATATAGCGAATTGCAGCAAGGCAAACACAATGAGACAATAGTTTTTATTTTTCCGTTTACCTCCATCCCTTAAAACTTTGCCAAAGTTGACCGGCACGGAGAATAATAAAATAAAAATTGTGTGGTTGAGGTTTGTGCAGAGGAGAGAGAAATAACAGAAACCACAAAATAATTGATTAAAAGGGAAAATGTAAAAGTTTTTTGGGACGTCCCAAAAAGGAAAGATGGCAAAGTTTAGATAGAGGGAGGAGTATATAGTTATAGATGCAACAATTTTTGCACAGGCTATTTCCAACCCACTTTAACTTATGTACTCTGTATGATCAAACCCAACAAGTTGAGAGCACAAAAGCTTATGTGCAAGAAGATATACATGCTGGGTCCTGAAACAAACCAAAATTAAAAAAGAATAATATAAAGGCAACAATAGTCTCGTAAAGAGTAGTTTAGACAAAAGAGTACACATTAATCCAAACAAGGACTAATGGCTCAATTTAGGTTCATACTAATTTAAAGTTAAACCCTAACATACAGGTTCACATACAAGATACAAAAACGTAGACTCTTGTGGAATCTCAAAGCTACAACCGAAAGTGACACTGCTTCATCTGCTGATGTGCAGAGCAGTGTGGATTCTGTACGCACAAAGTTTATATTTTATTAATGGCTACAAGATATAGTAATTTAGAGGGAAATAGATTAATAACCCAACCTTGTGCAGAGGGTGATAATATTGGAAGCCCTCAAGGACTGCTAGTAAAAAAATCCTCTGCAGTTTGGTGATCCACACAAACACCTCTTCCTCCTACGATCTGCTCCTCTATCTGACTGGATCAGTCCATAATCGAATGTCAACTCCTGCATAGGAGGAATGTGGTTGATGGCGAAGAAGGCAATATGGTAATATGCCTCGTTATTATTCTCACGCACAACTGGCTGCCACATGACATTTGGTGAACAGCTATGGTTCATGAATCGAGCAACATTCCCGTAATTTCTTGCACTTATAACAAGGGCAAATGGGATTTTTGGAGACTCATCCTGACCAACTCGCACAGCTTCCAGAGGTGGATAGTTCCGAGTGGCATCAAAGATATAAGCATCCCCACTTTCGTTCCCATACTCGCCTGCTCTAGAAGCATCAATGACTTCTCCTGCATACTCACATATAAAGGGCACTTTAGTCCCAAAACACTCATTATTACTGTTGGTGCCTGCGCGGCTATGTTCCTTGTTTGGCAACGTTAACTGATCTTAAAAATGACAATTAACGTATGATTTGTATTTTGTAGAGCACAATTTCATAATTTCATAATCCACGGAATTATTCACTATTACATGTAATAACGAGGTTACCAAACTTACATGTTACGGAGTATAAACTATTGGGTGGATAGTCAGAAGTTTTAATTGGATTAGTTTCGGTCTAAGATCAGATAATGTATTTTTAAAGTGGACTTAAGTAATAGACCAAATCAGACCTCTATCAGATATGATTAGATCACACTTCGACAATTATGATATGTATATAAAAGAAAAATCTATCAGATCATACTTGACCAATTCAAAACAGACCAGTCTTAAAAAGACAAGACAAGATCAGTTAATGGATAAAGCACGCCTACACCATTCTCTAATAGTGGCTCAATCTCTCAATGTGCATGATGGTCATTTCCGACCTTGTGAAGATGATGAAGATACCCTTGGTCCCGAAATATCATATGTGAGTGATGTTGGAGCATTAATGTATTTGGCTAATACTACCCGACCATATATATTGTTTTTTTTCTAAAAATTTATTAGTTAGGTACAACTCTTCCCCAACAAGAAGACATTGCAATGATGTTAATATATACTCCGTATACATCACGCTATCTTAACGGTACAATAGATCTTGGATTGTATTACAAGAATGGTGCAAACGCCACTTTAATTGGCTATGCCGATGCAGGACACTTGTCTAATTCACAAAAGGCAAATTCACAAATAAGTTATCATTACCCGAAATAGGACTAAAAAAGTTTGAAAATTCCAAAATAGGACTGTCATGTTTTTATTCCCAAAATAGGACTAATTACTGTCATGTTTTGGCAGTACTAGACTTCAAACATGACGGTATTTTCCAAACTTGACAGTAATTACTCTTATTTTGTGAATAAAAAACATGTCAGTCCTATTTTGGAATTATCAAACCGTTTTAGTCATATTTCGGGAACTTTCACTTATTTATTCACTTATGGTGATACCGCTATCTTGTGGATATCAATGAAGTAATCATTTAATGCCACATCATCAAATCATGCGGATTAATTGCTCTTTATGAAGCAAGCCGAGAATGCGGGGTAAAATCGTTTACCTGTGATTCTACTGTGATTTATGAAGACAACACGACATGTATAGCTCAGAGCCTTAGATCAAAGGAGGTTACATAAAAGGGGATAGAATAAAACATATCGTAGCAAAACTTTTCTCCACACATGATTTTGAAAAAAAGTAACGATTAATGTTAAACAAATCAAGTCATGCGACAATCCTATTGATATTCACAAATCGTTGGACTCGAATAAATTTGAAGAACTTGTCCACAAAATCAGTATGTGTCGTCTCTGAAATATATGTTAAATTTGAGGGGGTATTATATGCACTACACTTGTTTTCCCTTTGTTCAGTTTTTATCCAACTGAGTTTTTCATGACAAAGTTTTTAACAAGACATTACATTGTAATACTATCAAACTAAATGTTGTACTTTTTCCCCCTTAACTATGATTTTCATCACATTGTGGAAACCGCAATAAGGTTTTTTATGAGACACCTAGGGCCTGTTTACTAACAGAAATATTTTTCAGTTTTCTAGAAAACCGGAAAACCGGAAAACAGAAAACAGGAAACGTGTTTACCAAATCGTTTTCCAAAACGGAAAAAATGAAACATGTCTCTCTTTTCCTTAATGATTTGGAGAAGTGACTTTTACTAGTTTTCCAAATTTGGAAAACGCAGATGCTACAGTGCCTTTGCAATGAATTTGCATACTTACACCTGGTGGTGGGTCCGGTCCCGCTCCGATGTCGATTCCATTCCGGTAGGTACCTCCATCCTCGTACCTTACCCTTACCCCTACCCTACCCTACCCACCCTACCCCCACCCCCCACCCACATGCCCCGACCTCGGCCCCAACCCGATCCACCCTACCCTACCGCCACCCCCTACCACCTCGACCCCACCTCGATCCACCCTACCCTACCGCCACCCCCTACCACCTCGACCCCACCCTACCCTACCCCCACGCCTTGTATATTACCACTTACCCCTACCTTACCCCTTACCACATGCCTCCTACCTCGGCCCCACCCCTCTGCCATCCTACCCCCACCCCCACCCTACCTTACCTTGGCCCCACCCGGATCCCGGGCCCACCCTACCGCCATCCTATCCCAACTCCCTACCATACCCTTACCTTACCCAACCCCAAACCCTACCCACTACCCCCACCCTTACTGCCATCCTACCCCCACCGCCATCCTATCCCAACTCCCTACCCTACCCCTACCTTACCCCAACCCCAAACCCCACCCACTACCCCCACCCTTACCGCCATCCTACCTCCCACTCCTACCCCTTCCCTACCTCGGCCCCACCCTGGTCCCGATCCCACCTTTCCGCCATCCTATCCCAACTCCCTACCCTTCCCCTACCTTACCCCAACCCTACCCACTACCCCACCTTTAACCCACCCACTACCCCCACCCAACCCCCTACCCCTAGACCTTACCACCCCAACCATACCCCTTACCCCACCCCCACCTATAACTTCCCTACCCGACCCCTACGAGTAGGTATGGGTGGGTATGAAGGGTTGTGGTGGAGTATGGGTAGTGTAAGATCGTGGTAAGGGTAGGTAGGGGTCAAGGGTGTGGAATTGGAGAACTGTGTGAAAAAATTGATGAACATGTTTTCAAATTTGAAAATGGAAAACTAAAAAATAGAAACAGAAAATTGGAGATAGAAAAACTGAAAAATAAAAACAGAAAATTGGAGAACGAAAAACAGAAGTAGAAAACAGGAAAATATCTCTGTTAGTAAACAGGCCCCTAATATCCCAAAATAAGTAGAAGATGATCGGGAGTGTTAAAAGATAATTAAATTAGTCATCTTCTAACTATTAATGAATATGAATTATTATCACCACCATCAAAATAATTAGTAAAGCATAATTATGATATCAAGGTGATAAGTGTGTGACTCATAATAATTTCTCAATTCAATTGAGGTTACATTTTGTGGTAACTTTGTCATTGTGATTTACACACCTCTAACACACCATTAAAAAACCTCTTTTGAGAGCATACTTACATCCTCTCCTCCCTAATCTTGTGCTCATTTCCTTCTATTTCATTACACAATCATCAATTTTATTTTTGGCAAATAAACCACTAATCACATGTTCAAGTGTTAGCTCAAACCTACATTTTTACCAAGCAAACGCCGAAGAACGACCCTGAGGTAAAAGAAAGCAGAGTCTAAATGGATGGTTGAAATGGAAGGGAACAAGAAAATGGATGGTTGAACTCTTTCCGAATGGCCCTGCATAAAGTACTTATCGGCCCACTCTTTCCGGTAGTCTCTGATCAGGTTCTCGCTAATCCTCAACATTCGGCCGCAGAGAAATTGATCGCCGACGATACATCAGTATCGAATATAAGAAATCGGTAAACCAAGCTTTCTGATTTTATATCCTTATATGAGTACTTGTGCAGTTATATTAGCACTTGTCCAGTGATCGGCGGCGAACGCCGTCGACCTTTCACTTTCCTGTCCAATTTCATGTGCATTCGTGATATCGAGTCGGTCAGTCGATGTAAGTTATATCCATAGGCGAGCGAAATTAGGGTTTATTTGCGTTTGTGTTTGTTTAGGTAGCACAAAGAAGAAGTGAACAGGCCAGCCCTCCAAATTGAAGAGGGATTCCTGATCTACATGTTTATCTGGCTGCGGAATGGATCACGGCAGCATTTTAGATACGGTTGGAGGTGAGATTACCGGGGTGATGGCTCCGGTGTCTATTTGCATGTTCTTGGTGGTCCTCATTGTATACTCCCTTTCTTCCCCCACCTCAGCCACCACCACTATCCAGACTGCAGCAAATCTCGTATACCTAGAAAACCCTTCTGATTCCACTTCTCAAAAACTGGAAGGAGCTCTCCTCAATGCACTGGTTTTCGTTATCCTCCTTGTGGTGGTCACCTTTCTCCTTGTGGCTCTCTATTATTTTCGATTCACAAACTTTATAAAACACTATGTCCGCCTCTCTGTCTTCTTTGTATTGACGTCTATGGGCGGCTCCATCTTCCTCTCCATCATCCAGCACTTCAACATCCCCATAGACGTAATCACATGTGCTTTACTCCTCTTCAACTTCAGTATCCTTGGGGTCATCTCCGTCTTTTCACAGGGGGTGCCCATCCTGCTTAATCAGATGTACATGGTGTCAGTTGGGATCATCGTTGCCGTTTGGTTCACGAAATTGCCAGAGTGGACCACCTGGGTTTGCCTTGTGATGTTGGCTTTGTATGATTTGGTTGCAGTGTTGGCCCCTGGAGGACCACTTAAGATTCTGGTGGAGTTGTCTTCGTCACGGAATGAGGAACTTCCTGCTCTAATTTATGAGTCCCGGCCTAGTGAGCAAAGGAGCAGAAGAGGTTCTGGGGTTGGGCTTTTGCTGGCTGGGGTTTCTGATATTGAACTTCAAACCATTTCAGGTAATACTAATGTTACCATTGGTGATGATGAGAATATTGATGTAAGGAGCCCACATTCGGCTGTAAATATTCAAAATGAATGCGAGGAAATCACAGAGGAGACTTCTCCATTGATGACCAGCGGTAATTCTTTGACAGAAGGGCACGATGAGAGCACAGAAGTAAGAGAGTTGGAGAGGCAAAGTGAAGAAGAGGAGGAGGGGGAGAGAGAGAGGGGGATTAGGCTTGGATTAGGGGACTTCATCTTCTATAGTGTTCTGCTTGGAAGGGCTGCAATGTTTGATCTGTTGACAGTGTATGCTTGTTACCTTGCTATCATATCTGGGTTGGGGTGCACACTGATTTTGCTTGCTGTGTGCCGCCATGCTTTGCCTGCGCTTCCCATTTCAATTGCTCTTGGGGTTATGTTTTACTTTTTGACAAGGCTCTTGTTGGAGCCATTTGTCGTTGGCGCGTCAACCAATCTGATCATGTTCTGACTATTGGTGCTGCTGCACAGAAGCTATTTAGGTGCTCATAACAATGAGAGTCTACTGTTTTGGTTTGAGGAATCGGTTTATGCTTTAGGTGATGAAGAGGTGTTATACTCTGTTGCAAACTTTTTGTGTATTGACAGAAACTCTGGAAACTTATTCTTGAACAGATTCTTCTTCTGCTCTAGCACTGGTATGCATGGTTTTCATCTTGTACTTAACATTCTACTACTGAATGAGGAGCCAGCCTGACTAGATTTTGGTGAGTTTTTGTGGCGATAACAAATACCCCCTAAATTACCATTTTGGTCAACCGATTACCACTAGCCCAGAACTTATGATAGAGTAACCTTTAAATCTTTAATGGGGTGTCTTGGAATCGAATCAGAGACTTTCTAATCATGTGTTCATACTTTATACCAGTCGAAATACCCTTCTTGCTTGGTGATCATTATTGCTTGCAGTGGCGGAACCAGAACGATTTTTAAGGGGTGGCTGAAAAGTATGTCAAAATCAAGAGGATCTAAAACATCTACTATTTTTACTACTCCCTCCGTATCACATTATCAGTCGCATTTGCTATTGCACGCAATTTAAAATGATTATTATACATTTTATAAAAAATAAGAAGTTTATGATACCGTAGCACTACTGTAACTGCTTTTATGGTGAGTTTCTTAAAGAAAATTAAATACGGAGTAATTAATTTGATGTGTCCCAAAAAAAGTGAGACAGATAAATTGATACGGAAGGAGTATGATTTTTAGAGTAAAAATGACAAAGTGGACTACAAAGATCTCTAGTTGTGTACTCTCTTGTACTTGATTTCTAATGAACGGATCAAAGGCAATAATAGATTTTCACAACTCGATCTAGATCAATAACAATATCATTTCGATTGAATTCCACAAGAAAATGTTTTTCCCTATGACGTTTGTTGTTATCTCGTTTAGCATACCCCTCACTCCGATTACAAATTGTGAAATAGATTGAGGTAACCTAACAAATTTTAAAATTTTAAAACCATAAATTATTAGAAGACGAATCACATACACATTAAAATCTGAAACAAATAAAACATATCCTAACAATTCACACATTAGCCATTTCTATTTTCTGAAATTATTTAAACTACTAAAACAATTTGAAGGAGTAAACAAGTTAAATATTATTAAAAATCTAAAAGTTTGAAACAAGAAAATAGAAGAACTATAACAAGGAATTAAACAAATAATTGAGTAAACAAGACAAATTAAAAATTATACAACCCTACTGTAGTTGTCGTTTGTAGATGAGGTAGAGATGCTTGAGGCTTCACCCCTTCAGCCTCCGGCCAATCCTTACGCCGTAGAAGTCACCAAAATCTTAATCGGTTGCAGAACTTTCTCAACTCCAAACAGCCAGACTCCATCCCTTGCTAATTGCTCTCGCGTTCAGATTTGGGTTTAGACAATTTGGCCGGATAACGTCGATAAATTAAGCATGCGGTCTCTGTCCATAAGTCAAACACGTGCCGCGACGTCGTTTTATTTTTTTAGAGACTCTTATCCAAACGGCGTCGTTGGGATTAAGTAAATAAAAAACAAAAGATTTTCTCAGCTAAAGCCCGCAGAGTTCCACCGGCGACGGGAAAACAGAGGGACAAGAGCAAGAAGAACACGGGTGGCTATGAAACATATACAAATATATACTCTACTATTTCCGGCGAAGGGGTGGCGCCAGCACCGGCTAGCACCCCCCTGGTTCCGCCCCTGATTGCTTGCAAATATAGACGGATGTCAACGCTTGAAATTCTTTTTGATTTCCATATGAAATGTGCAATGTATAAAATGCAGAATAAGATTGATCTTACAGATGACACGTGAGTATATGCATATAGCCATATACTCCAGGGAGGCTATGTAACAAAACAGTGCGTAACTCGAAATGTGTGGAAATAATATTTTAAAGAAACATAGGATACAAAATATAGGAGAAACACGTAAAATTAAAAAATGCAACCTCCGTGACCTGGACTCGGGCCGGGCGGCCCGGCCCGGAACCGGCCCGGCCCGGTTACTGTGAGGCCCGGCCCGGCCCGGAGCCCGGTGGGCCCACCGGTTCGGTTCGGCCCGGCCCGGCTGCTGGGCGGTTCGGGCTCGGGCCGAGGTTTTGGCGAACCGGCCCGGCCGGTTCGGGCCCGGTTCGGTTCGATTTTTATTTTTTTTTTTTGAATTTTTTTTAAGTTTTGGGTTGGATTAGGTATTTTGGGCCATTTGAGGTGGTTTGGGGTAGTTTGGGGTTGAGGGGGAGGGGTTGGGGGTTAAATAGAAGAGCCAAAAAAAAAAAAAATCCGGGTAGGCCCGGCCCGGCCCGGTTTGGCCCGGAACCGGAACCGGAACCGCCCACCGGCGGTTCGGGCCCGGGCCCAACTATCCTGGCCCGAGGCCCGGCCGGGCCCAGGCCCGAACCGGGCCCGAACCGGCCCGAGTCCAGGCCTACTCCGTGGCTGTCCCATAAAATTGTTCCCATATTGACTTGGCTCGCAAATTAAGGAAGTGAGAATAAAGTGGAAATGTGTGGTTGTAGTTGTGTAAAAAAGGTAAATGAATGTGAGTCACAATTTAAAAAAAAATGGTAAGTGAGAAGAATTTTTTGGGATGTCCCAAAAAGAAAAGTTGGAAGAATTTTGTCGGACGGAAGGAGTATAGATCTATTGCATTCATATACTACGCTTATAGGAGGAGTACATAATATTTCCATTTAAACAAATAATAATTGTAAAGTTATCCTACAAGGCTATAATCCCTACATGACCATTTACCAACAGTATGCTCCAATACAAAATATCGTAATGACTGCATTGCTACACATAAGGCTCATAAATATCTTGAGGCACATTCCCAAAAACATAAAATTTCGTGGAGAAAATCATCAATGACCCAACTTTTTTTGAAATGATCGTTACTTAAGGGCGGTTGGGGGATTTCAGATGGGAGGGAAGGGGGAAGGGGAGGATTGATTTTTTATTTTATTAATTTATTTGAATTTTTTAGTTTTTAACTTCAAATAACTAGTGTATATAATTGGTTAAACCATGTATTTTACCGTAGAGGACTATGATAAAGTTGCTTTTCAGAAGTTACTTTTAAAGTTAGTACACTTTTTGTATGATGTGTTTAAAAGTTTACTATATTTTCTTTTTCTTTTTTAGTAAACTTTGTTTAAAAATACTCAATTGCCCTTTAAGTTTTCTATTTTTTATCTTCTATTTCATACTTTTAAACTTTTTCTCTCACACTTTTCTACACTATTCATTATCCCTACTATTTCTCATTAAATAACGTGTCAAAGTCTAATGTAGAAATATTTTAAATACGGAGAGAGTATAAATTTTTCTTTTAATAATTTTATTAACAAAAATATACATTTTCATAAATGAGTAGAGTTAGTTACTCTTACCACTTCAATTAGAATTTCATAAATATAAACAAAATTAGCCGATTCAATTAATTTTGTTGTTATTAAACAAGCTCATAACTAGATAACACGAATAACAATGGTAACATCTCTGATTTACACATTCGTAGACAACTATTAATTTTGACAGAAAATTGAATTAGAAAAATAGCTGTATTAGAAAAATGGCATTTTGTCAACACAGACAACCAAAATTGGCCGCATAGACAATATTTTATGCGGAAAACATTGATTTGCACTTACATACTCCGTATGAAGCTACGAGGTATTATTTTCATGAGAAAAATATGAAAATCCATATTTTTGACATATAAGTTTGAGCACAATATTAATTGAAGTGCTTGTGCCAAGGTATTAATGGTATATTTTGTGTACTAGAGTTAGCTTTGTCAAATTGTTTTCCAAAATAATGCTAAAAAAAGTATTTACGAAAATAATTTTGAATTAAAAGTATTTATGAAATACTTGATCAGGGTTAGACAAATGGAATAACAAAATTTTGAAATTTCAAAATGAAATTGTTATGTTGAACAAGGGTGATTTCTGCCAAATTTAGCATTATCCGCAATTACTCAATGTTTAGAAAATAAAAACGAATTCCTATCTAAAATTTCAAAAACGCGCAGGACCGAGATTTGTTTCCAATGTTTTGGAAGGCAGGTAGCAATATTTTTCTCGATTGGGAAGTCCATTATCCACGCCTTTTCATTTCACCGGCTCATATTTATCAAAGCATCGTGGCTCTTATCCGCAAGGTATGGCTGCCGCCCTCCTCTTCACCGCCATTCCAACCGCCGCTTCTCTCTCACTTCATTCTTCATCGCCGTCGTCAGCTTCCTCTTTGCTCGCTCATCCACGTAAGATTCTGATTCTTCCTTCATACCCATTGCAGTTTTTCTTTAATTCCCGAATGGCAGAAATTTCCCCATTCGCGAGAACCTCTTGATGGTTTTACTGCATTTTCAAATTGCAATCTTCTGTGTACTTTCTTCGGATTGACTAGTGGGTTTCTTTACTACCCTAATGCCTTCTTTTCGTGGAGGGACATCTCTTAGGCATTTTGTCGAGCATGTCTTAACTGTTCACTCCAGTATCTTTGAAAATTTCAGATTCTTTATTATGAAATGAAATTAATCATATTCCGTGTAATTTAACTTGCATCAATGAGTTTGAATCATTCAAGCTCGATTTTAGCTTCACTGATGAAAATTAGGAGATGTTGAAAGGTTCAAAGGAAGAGCATCAAAAAAGAATTTATCCTGAACCATTCAATAACAGTAGCTATAAGATCTCTCTTGGTTAACATTTTTTTACTAACTTGTGAACTTTGTAATTTCCAACCATTGCACTAGTCCTGAGGTTTGATAGAACTTGTAATGGCGCGGCATCAAGATCCTACATCAATCCCCTGATTCTTGCACCACATATTTTCAAAGAGAGAGATGCACTGGTTTCAAATGCAGCTTCCAGTGTGAGTGACAATGTTGAGCCTCCCTCGGAGAGTAATGAGGAAAACGTGTCCATTGAGGACCTGCCTTTGGAGTCCAAGCTTCAGGAAGCGGTTGAGCGGAAAATGAGAATTAAAACGGCAAAGAAAATCAGAATGAGAAGAAAGCGACTAATGAGGAAACGTGCGTTGAGGAAGAAGGGAAGATGGCCGCCTTCGAAGATGAAGAAAAATCAGAATGTTTAGCCTGTTATGTGATCTTCCTGTTGAAAATATTTTGTTCTATATGCATCTGAATTGAAAAGAAATGAAAATGTTCTGTTTTGTACTGGTAGGTACTTCTGTTCCTACTACCAATACAATTGCTGATCTTTCTGAGAAAGTGCATTTAAGGTCATTCACTAACTCAAAATCCAGATCAGTGTTTGCTATCACACAATAACTCTTTGTTTTGTAAGACGCTTTTCTTCTGAATTCTGATGGTCTCTTCTCTCTTTTTTCAGGCTTATTGGCTAGGTTATTTTACCAAGCCTAACTTATTTAACTAAACCCGCAGAATTAACTAAAATCATTTTTCTCTCGTCTTTACAAACCCGCATTACACAACTTTTATTTTCTTATTTTATTTCACACAAATTTGGTAAAATTTCAAAGGACAAGAGAGTATATATTGACATTAATTATTTGGGTTGAGTTTATGTTAAAATTCATGGTGGGCTTATCACTAACTATATTACAATTTTAATACTATCGTAGTAGTATATTATCAATCATTTGGGGTTGGCTCTACCATGGGGGAGTTATGATGTTTTTTACTTAGATTGTTTTCAGTTTCACACCAGTTCACACCATACCAAACCGGACTAGACTTAAACAGATCAGATCAGCAAATATTAGTTCAACAAAAAAACATCCTTAGGCTACATCCTTATTGTGGTCAATCTTTGAGATGATAA